GCTTCTTTTCCCGATTTCTCTCCTTATCTCGTTACTAATCCTTTCCAATCCAGAAAATCTTCTTTCTCTATATCTTCTAACGATTTAGGCTCCTTGTAGATATGTTGAGAATTTGATATCACAGGTCAAATACAAAAGAATAGACGGATAGAATAGGAAAGAATAGGATGGTCGATTTAGTTTTTATATACTTAGGAATTCCGATTTTTGGCGTTTTTTTTTTGCTTTTGACTAGTGTATGTTATTAGATGTGTTATTAGATATATTATCAGAAGTATTTTCTATATGTTCTGGGGTACTATCACAATTTACACGCCAAATACAAAAGAATAGGCGTACCCAAAAGGAATAAGTAGGACAGTCAATTTTATCCAGTGATTCGAAACATTCCGGGAATATTGTGAAAATCTGGAATATTGTGAATTTTTTTTTTTCGGAAATTTCGAGTGTCGAAAATTTCCGAAATTGAGTTAAAAATTTCGCCTATTAAAATTTACTGATGACAAGTACCTATCCGATAGACTTACAATATATGATGATACTCCGTCATCTGATATAACCGGAAATTTTCAATATTCCAGTAAATTACTTAAAAATTTTCAATAATATTTTACAAAAGATGAAGAGAAAATATTTCACTGGTACTTGAAATCAGTTGAAAAAGGAAATGTCGATGAACAGAATAAACTTGGTATTGAAACTACAAAAGATGATGAGAAAGCATTTCAATGGTATATAAAGTCAGCTGAAGGGGGAAATAGTGGTGGACAATATAGTCTTGCGAATTGTTATTTCTATACTACCAATGATAAAAAGAAAGCATTACGTTGGTACCTGAAATCATCTTAAGGAAGAAATAAATTTGTATATATCTTCATTCGAATAATCTTCACCTATCCAATAATCTTAAAATTTTAAAATATTCACAAAAGTTATTATGTTATTTAGTAGATATTATTTAATATAACTGTAAATTTAATATTACATTTTTTTTTTAAAAAAAAAATGTTATGTATACACGTAAGCTGCAAAATAATTGTCTAGATTTATAATAGTAAGTTAAATTTCTAAATTTAGAGCGCGTTATTTGTTAAAAATAAGAATTTTAAAAATAAAAAAAAACCAAATTGTAAAATTGTAAAATGCACAGTAATCTGAATAATTATTTTGATCAGTAATTGTTGTGTGATGTACCACCAAAAATATTAGATGATAAAAAGGAAATACCAAAAATAACAAAAATTTAAATTTAAATTACCACAACATAAATAATGAACAATGCGACTAAATATAAATATTCCCAGTTTCATTCCACTTCCAATTCCAATTCCAACCCATCTTAATAATAAATTAAATATATTAAGATTAATAATAAATTAAAATATATAAAATTAATAATAAATTAAATATATAAAATTAATAATAAATTGAATTAAATTTACCCAACATCCTTTGGAGCTACTAATTTAAAGTTTACATATTGTTGGTCTTCTTGCAAATCCTTATCAGGAGGTGTGATAGTAAAACAATAATCTGTATCGGATGGACAATGTGTGCTACACTTTACCACTATTTAAAAAAAATATATATAATACAGAATTAGCTCAACAGTCACATTAATATCATAGCTTAACGTGTCTTCAACAACATATCTCAATATATATAACAATTATTACCTTGAAATAATAAAAATAATAAAATAATTTTATTCCACATTTTTATTTATTTTATGTATTTATTTTTTTA